GCTTAAAAAATAAAAAAATAATAATTATTATTTTATTTTTAAAAAATAAAAAATAAATATTTATTTTTAAAAATAAATAAAATAATAATTTTTTTAATAAATAATAAAATATTAGGGATATATATGTAATTTTACTATTAAATAAAAAATAAAAAATAAAAAATAAATATATAATTGAGCTTGCGAGCGAGTTTAATGTTTTTGAGCTCGAGCTCGAGCTCGAAATCGACTTAATTGGCTCGAGCTCGACTCGAACTCGAAATTGACGAGCTCGAGTCGAGCTCGTATTCGAGCCGCTCGCGAGCCGATCGCGAGCGGCTCGATTCGCGAAACAGCCCTAGTCCTGGAGACAGTTGGGCAGCTTCTCTTCAAAGGGTATGTAGGTACTTATAGTTGGTTTTGCTAGTTTTCATGGTACGTATTTGGATAGAGAGGCCTGATACTCTAGGTTTCCAAATTGATCTAAAAAAGGGATCAGAAATAAGAGACAACCATATCCTGGAAACTGACTTAGAACGAATGAGGGATTTGGCAGGTAGACTCTTAAGAATCTGTGTCAGTATTTGATCACTTGATTCTATTGCTTCAGTACCTTGCTTTATCATTTTTCTGCATGGAGCCAGCTTTCAGTATATCCGTCCATGAGTGAAAATGCAGTAAGTATATATAGATACTGAGGTACCTGAGTCAAGTTTCATACTGATTTCAACAATTTCCAATTCATCTGCTATGGAGTCCTTGCATCATAACAGTCTCCAAAGCCATATTTGAGATTCAACTTAAAACACCATGAAATACCACTCCAGTCTTAAAGCAGTCAAAGCATTCTATTTCTAATGCATTTTTTTTTTTGGTGTGAATATCATTTCTCTAACTCAGGAGCAAATTTGAATTATGTTAGGTTTTCTAGACTAGTTTAAATCATACGGTTGTTAATTTGACTGAATTAGAGTTTGGAATGGAATATAAACTTTCAGAAAAAAAAAAAAGAAGAATATTAGGAAAGTTTGTGCTGTCCAATAAATTTATTTCTTGCACAATTTTCTGTGATTATTTCTCTAACTTCTCAAAAATTTGAACTTTTTTTGGTATCCTAGAATTTTCATCAGATGATAAATTTGGCTAACATAAATATGCATTAAGATCAAACTTTTCATCTCAGCTATATTAAATTCCCTTATCTCCATTAAAGCAGAAAAGAAGGAAATTAAGCAATATGTAAGAATTTTTTTTGGGGGGTCGTGGTGGTTTGCGGGGGGGGGGGGGGGGGGGGGAGGGGAAGGAGTGGGCGAGGGAGGAGGTGGACTTATACACATCCGTTACTGCAAAAATTATACTGCTTCATTGGCATAGCTAGTGATGTATATTTACGTCTTTCTTTTAGTACCTTTTTTTTCTTTTAAAACTTATTTTCATGCTACAAGGCAAAACTTAATTTACCGGGCAAGGTTTTCACTTTTTTTTTTTCCTTTTTCCTTCTCCTTATTTTGGAATTGTTATTCTGGATCCTAGTGGAAAAAGATAGAAGGGGTAATAATAAAATATTCCCTTGTTATGTTAAAAAAAAAGAGCAGGGAATCGTTAGCTTTATTATTATTATTATTATTGGATAAGAATCATTAGCTTCATTAATCATAGACATTCGGGAGACTCAATTAGTTCACGGTTTAAATGGGAAGAAAAATTTTAGGGGCATATAGGAGAGTCCTCTAAAAGGAAAACATTCTTAAAATGTATGTTTTGGATTTTTTAAAACAATAATGTAATTTTTTTGTGACGTAATAATGTCGGTGAAATAAAAAGATAATTGAAAAAATAAAACGAGAATTAGAAAACATGTTTGTAATACAATTCAATAGTAGTATTTTACAAATAATGCCCTATCCAAATTCCAAACGATGAAGCATGCCCTATCCAAACTAAGCTAATTGGACTATTACATTGATGAGCATAGAGATGATAATAACAACAATAATAGAAGATATCTTTAACTCAACAATTATGCGAAGATTAAAGTCTAAAGACTACATTTCTTCAATGCAATTCGGCCAGTTTGCATGAACACATTTACATGAACTATGAAGCCTTTGGAATAAATGCCCCTCCTGGGCAGCTCGTTTGGTCACGACAGCCCCTTGGAAGTCGTTGTCCAGCTCCCCCATCAGGGATTGAGTCCCAGTTGTTATCGTGTTCGGGGGGAAGGGGTCTCTCCTCCCGGATCGGAGTGGGATCAGTCGGGTCCCATAAGAATTGACCCAGACACCCACTCCGTCAGAAAAAAAAAAAAAAGAATAAATATTGCAATGTATCCCTTGGGTTGTGACACTTTCTATTGGCGTGGGGCTATTGGATGCTCCTAATCAAATAGAACAAGATGAGGAGTCGAAAAAGGCTTCTCACGAGTAATTTGTGTCTATCATTTCTAAAATGGATGGATAATTTCGAAACCTTCCTTGAGATTTTTGATAATTTCACCTAGTTTTTTTAAAGTTTTAAAAATTACATATACCTCCCTTTCAAGTTACCATTTTGGTAACAAAAACTATTCAGGCGTCAAAATTTTGAATAAATAACCCAAAATACTCTCATAAAATTGTGAAGTTCATTTACTTTCCTATAAAATTCTTAAAAAAGTTTGGAACATATACAACATCACAAACCCAATTTCAACCTTTATCTCTACTATTCTAAACCTTCCATATTTCCAAATCTCAAATCAATACTATTATCTCCATCACCACCACTACCATCAGTCCCTAAATTCTAAAATCTCAATCTAAGCGAAAGAAACAAAATTAGCACTATTAAATTTAAAATTTCACCAACTGCATTCATATAGCACCATATCCCTCAAATGTTGGAATACCAATACTAGTCCATCCTTCTTAAACCTTCAACCTACATCTTCTCTATTCATCTCTAGATCCTCCAAGTAAAACTAAAATTAATTTGTAATATGTTTAAAATTGTGTTTATTACAAATTGGTTATTCCAAGAGTGAACTTTGTTTTTGTTGCCATTTAATGTCTAATTGTGTGAAATGCATTCACATGCACAAGATTAGGAGCAAATTATTTAATTGTATAAAAAATATTAATATGTTAACGTTATTATGATCAGTTTACAAAGGCCAAGAGAAGTAAGTATAATATTAAAAATCTCAAAGGTAGCAGGCGAAATTGTCAAAGATCTCGAGCGAGATTTCTCAAATTATCCCTTTCTAAAAAGTAAGATCTGATTCAAGTAGAGATGACAATTGAGATGGCTGTTCGCAAATAGGCTAGCAATCCTGTCCCAAATTCCCAATAAGTTAATGACTTGGGTTTTAATCGATTCTCACTTGTTTGGCTACAAATGCCAATGAGAAGGGACATTGCCACAAAGGTTCAGAAAGCACGGATTTAATTTTAATTTTATAATTGCAAATATGGTTGAAAGAAGAATTACGTTATTGGATATGCAAATCGACTACAGATCGGCAAGATCTTATTTGAATTCGATTCCCTAATTAACCAAATCAAATATGATTAGGCTTACGTTTGGCTTCATTAAAATAAAAATTGGAAATTTACATAAAAGAGATTTCATCGAGTCAAATATGAACACAATTTTAAACTTATTAAAATAGACAAACAACATTGAACAACTAGAATGTCCTGTTTGATTGGATTTATTTACACCACTACTTGCATGTAAGGTTTTTTGAAACTTTCATGGGGAAAAAGTAAAATTGTAAAAAATATTTCTAGTAAATGCCAAATTCTCAAGCTTGTGGGGCAACTTATAAGGGGGACAACAAATTAGATCTTTAAAATTCTTCGCAGTCTGTCAATGCGGAAATTCTAAAAACAAATCAAGTAGCGCGTTTTAGCTGTCAAGTGTCAAACACCTAATTCCAAGCGCGTGCTGCTGGCTTACAATTCATCCTTTCTCCGTTCACATCCACAAACTTTTCTAGGCAATTTTAAACCAAAATTGTACCCACTATACATTACCTACTACTAAGATATTCAACGGAGATAAGGTTGAAGTCTTGAAGAAAATTCTTAAAAAAGTGTAAAGCCGAATAATATTCATCATTTTAGTCCATTTTGATCACGTCATATAGAGACTAAGAAACATCAAGCATCAATATCACTCAAAAAGTCATTGGCCTAATCTAGACTAGGAAGCCCCTCCTGGGCTCGTTTGGTCACGACAACTCCTTGTTAAGTTGTTGTCCAACTCTCCATCAGGGATCGAGTTCCAGGGGCTACCATGTTCTGAGGGAAGGGACTCCGTCAGCCAAAAAAAAAAAAAAAATCTAGACTAGGAAAATGGAATTGATGTTTATGTCGTCTTAAAGTATGAATGACAACAACATTATGGGAAAAATGTAAAATTACTTTTCTCACTTTCAAAACTTGTGCAAATAAAGGGTACTGCAGACATGCCCTTTTTTTTTGGCTGTTCCTAACTGATGATTAATGGCATTGACATTTTCATATGCAGTTCATGATAATCCCTTGTCCCTCTATCCAACACCAAAAGATGGCAGAACACAACTTCAAGGATCTGTTTAATGATTATAACACGTAAAAAAAACTCAAAAAGTGTTCCAAAATGCCAACTATTGTGCACTAGGACACTTCATTTTGAGTTTGTTGATAGGTTAACGACTTCTTGAATCAGAACTGGTAATTTATTATTAGCCTACCATATCTGTCTGTGTAATGTTTCCAATCTTCCATTTGATTTTCTTATTTAATTTTCTTGTGCTACAAGTCCACGAGCAAGCTAATCATGTGCAGTTCCATTGGAGCAACATCTCCAAACTTTCCAATCAGTTCATTCACACTCACTCAGTTACAAATTACAATATTGCAATAGACATTTTATTTATATATGAACTCTTCAGTTCTGTAGCAACCATTTGACACAGAAATATGCCGAAAGAAAGAAAGAAAGAGCTAAAACTACTCTTCATTAACAATCTCACCAGCAGAATAAACCTTCTTTCTTTAGTTGAGCAAGCAGAATGGATTTTCAATCAACTGATGTACAACTAAGCATTTCTGATCAGGTAGCGCTGTCTTCTGGAGCTCCTTGTAGGTTTTATCCTTGAACTCGTGCGACATGGCTCTGCCTTTTACAAGTAAAATCATGGATGATACCTCATCTTCCTTGCTAGCTATGTGAAGAACATGGAATGCTGAAGCAAGGCTGGTAAGATCAACATGGTACTTCACAGACCAGTTGAACTGGCCACGCTTCATCTGATGGACAAAAAGCATATTAGCATCAGAGCTGGATCCCAGGATTAGGCATAAATGGCCTTCATTAGTCTTTCCAAAATGTTTCAGCTTTCTTTGCTGATTACTCTTTTGCAGCGGAGGCATGGCAAATCGCTGGAAAACTTCTGAGGAAACATTAAAACATTGCGATTCCTCTGACCTTAGTGCTGGCCAGAGGATGGAGCCATCAAAATAAACTCCCAAGTTGAAACAAACATCACCTAACGCAACTCCTTCAATGCCTTTCCATGACTTGCTCTCTGAAGAATACATATTGACAAAAATCTGTGATCTGCGAATAGAGCTGATTGCTACCAATTTGTAAGCTATTGATTCGGAAGGATCATAAGCCAAAAACATATTCACTTCCTTCCACGCACTACGCCTTTCAGGGCATGGAACTGCAACATACTTTTGGTTGTTGGATTACAGATATAGTACCTGTGGTTGTAGAAAAGTTTACTACCTTTTTTACAAAGGATCAGAAACAATCCATTGCAAGAGCTCAAGATCTCAGTACCACAGATGCTGTTTCCATCAGAATTCAGAAAACTGAGATTGTCTTGGAGACTATTAGGCAGCTTGGCTTCCACTTTGATGTACTCATGCTTGGTTTTGCAAGTTTTCTTGGTAGATATCTGGATGAAGAGGCCTGACACTCTCGGCTTCCAAATTGATTTAAGGAAGGGATCAGAAATAAGAGACGACCATCTCTTGGAAACTAACTTAAAACGGAAAAGGGATTTTGCAGGTAAATGTTTAAGAATCTGAATCAAGATTTCATCACAAGATTCAATTGCTTCAGCTGAAGCACATACCATATTTGTAGTACGGCGTGAGTGACCTCTGTATATTTTCTTTCTGCAGGGAGCCATCTTTCAACACATGAGTGAGAATGCAGAAGTATATAAAGTACTGAGGGATTTCAGTCAATCTTGACAAGGAGTGTTTCTTTCTTTTTTTATCCTTTAACATAAGTGTAAGGTTTTGAATCGAAATCCTTCTGTTTAAAATCCATTTTCCCTAGTTCTATATCAAGAAATAAAAGAACTAATTTCGTTGATTGAGACATTAATCAAATGAATTTAATGTCTCTTGTTTTACTCACAAATCCTCCCCTTTTTCTCCTTCTGTAAGGTTTAAAATCTCTTTAAAAAAAAAGAGAAAAGAAAAATGAAATGCATTGTGGATATTAAATTTTACATGTCCATCAAATTTTCAAGGAAAAAAGAAAGACTAATGGAAAGAAAAAAGTTAGGATTGTCTCTGGAACCTGTGTCCATTGACTGTAAATGGTCTGGGATGGGCTTTCTTGACATATGGGTTTAGTTGCCTTTGGGCTTGAAGAACAAGCCAAATGTGTAAGTGGGCTGCGCTTGGGCAATACTAAGCTCATATCTTTGTATATTAAGTTTCAAAAAATATAAACATGTGTTGTTAAATATATTAATGTTTACAATATATCTTATTATTTTAAAAATTGATACTATTTAAAAAATTTGTAATCCTAAGTAAGATTATTTTGTATTAATTATGTAAAATTCTGAATTTTTAAATTAAAATTTTATGATTTAATTAATATATGATATTTAAAGGATGAATTTTTATTTCGGCCACCATTCTTGATCCGAAAGCCCAATAAATTTAAAGACATGGACTTGGGCGTTAACATTTCCAACCCGAATGGGTTAAACTCAAACCCAACTATTTATAGTTTTTAACTAGGATTGGGCTTGGACATATCCAAATTCAGCCCAATAGGCCCGATTGACAGGCATGAAAGCACTTATTGTTAATCAATAATTGCGATCAAGTTGAGTTTAATTTGTAGTAACAGTCCACATGGCCCTATAAATATATTAGTATTTAGCCCATAAATTAGCAAGATTATTCTATAATTTGATAGTTCAAAGTATAAGAAAAAAACACATTCTTACTTATTCATTAATATTTTTTTAGAAAATTAATGTATTCTAAGCCTTTAATTATCATACAATTTTAAAAACTTCTTTGACAATGTAATAATATTCATTAAATACTATAATTCATACCACAAAATTGATTAGATATTTTCTGAGATAATAAGAAATTTTTATGATGACCATAAGCCTAGAACTAGATATTCATACTCAAATTGATTAGAAAAGATCCAATAATTTTTCCATGAACGAATTTGAATTTTTAGCCATATTATCAAATCTACCTATGTAACAACTCAAATTGCACTAATTAAATTTTTTTGCACATATTGATAAAAAAAATTGATAATTTATTAAAAGGGCAATCTTGTTAGAAGTTAGGAAAACCATAAGAAAAATTAATTCAAATTCATTTAAAAAGATAAAAGCTGTAAGAAGAGAGAGGGACAAAGTATTAAAAAAATTAATGAGTAAGGAGTTGGATTCAAATATTGGTAAAATCTAAGTATCAAATGACCCATCATTTTCAAGTAGGCATGCTACTTAGGTGAGAACAAATGGTTAATTAGATTCAGTACTTTATATACATTCATACACACACACAAATAATCATAATTTCTTGTAACAAGACTAATTGAAGAGAACTAATTAGTCAATAAATACTTGAGTTTTATCTATTTTTGTATCTAACTCTCTCCATTTTCGGGTCAATAAAATTCTCTCTTCTATAAGTCCTTTTTATCTCTTCCAATAAGTTTGAATTTTTTATCCACATATTGTAATCTTTCTTGGCATGATTTTGATTGTCATGTCGATAAATTTATTAACATTGTTAGAAACTTAAACCAAACATATAATTGCAGGTATATAATCATTTTAAAAGCTATCTCAAAAATACACATTATTTCTTTTCTTTTTACATTGTTGTATTTAATGAATATTATCACACCATAATTCATTTATGTATAAAAGATTTAAAAATTGGTTGGTGGTCCAACAATTTAGAGCACAAAAAATTTCTATGAACTTGAATTATTCATATCTTGCATTGGTTCATATAGAAGAAAAATGAAATATCCCATGCTAACGCATGGGCTAAAATATTAATGTCTTGTTTAGTGCTTTTTATCCTATGCCCAACATTGAAATTAGAGGAGGAGTGAGCCTTGCTGAAAATTTTTCAAAATCAATAAGCTTCACCTAAATTACATAAACTTCCTTGCAAAAGTGTAAAAATTTCTCGATAAAAGATTTGACGATATCCCTTTTTATTTTGTCCTTTTGAGGAAGGAAGGTACAAGATGGAAAAAACCTTTTCACAAAGACAAACAAGGCTGATCACTTATTTTGTCCTACTTTAGCCGAGAGAGAGAGTAGAGAGAGTTGAAAGGAAAGATTTGTGTCCTGCTCCAACCTTCCATCCGAGAGAAACTTGAGAGAAAATAAAGAAATTTCTCTTGTTTTGCTTCCACTTCAGCCAAGAGCAACGAGAGAGAGAAAATTGAAAGGAAGCTTGTGTCTTACTTCCATTTTCAGCTTGCTTGATCAAGTAGAAGGACCAAAACTGGAGAGTTAACTTCTAGCTTGTTTTAAAGGTAACATGATTTGAAACTTCAATTTCTTTCACATACTTTAGAGGGCTTTTGATGTATGTTAAATTTAAGCCAAAAGGTAGGAGTTTAGTGGAAGAAAAATATACTTTTCTAAGTTATAGGTTGCTGGAATTTTAATTTAGTGACATATGCTGATAGTTTTTAATTCCAGCTTTGTATTTGGAACTCTAATGGGTTTCCTTACTAACAACTCAGGTCATATGTTTCATCTTATGTTAAAAATGATATATGGTGTATTTGCCATGAAAATGAGTGAGAAATTAGTGGCTTGGATGAAAGAAAGTTTGAAGGAACCTGGTTGGAAAAAATCTGTGGGCTGACCGATTGCATAAAGTTGGATATATCAGTTTTACTTTAAAGTTGGAGTGAAGTTTTGCTAAGATTTCATGTTTTATATCATGACAACCGTGTATATAGAAGTTAGTATGTTTATATGGTTGAATAATAGTTATATGTTCATTGATTTGGCTGAAAATTTATCTAAGAGAGCTTGAGAAAAATTGGAGGAACTTTGTTCCATCCTTGTCATATCTCATTCCTTTGAGAAGTTTCTACTAGGAAGTCATGCTCTAAATGTTATATTTCTTATTTAGTATGCTATAGTATGTTGTCTTTGAATTGGGTAGCAAATTGCTAGCTTAAATGTGAGTTATTGGCAGCAATAAAGTTGGAATAACTCAAGTGAAAGGTTGAAATTTTGGGTGACAGTCACCCCTGGGCAGTTTTAGTAAATGAATCATAACTTTGTGTAGAAAAATCGAAATTGAGTACCGTCAACTGCGTTTGAAACTAAACTCATAGACCTTTCCAATGGTATAAAATTGGAAGTGTGGTTCATTTTATATATGCACCAGAAAATCAGTAAAGTTGACTGAAAAATCGGTCCTGAACAAGTAAAAATTGGGATGCTGTGGTAACTTGTGACTCAATTTGGATTAACTTATGGACCAAATTTCCTTGAGATGTCTACTAAAGATTGTTAGTATTTCAAGTCTAGTTTTAAACGAGATAATTTGTATGAGTTTTTGACATTTATAACTTAAGTTATGATTTTTCCAAAGAAAGAATGCTTGCTAGAATTTTAGCTTTGATCGCTAAATTTTCAGGATGATTTTAAGCTCAATTTGTTCAAAACACCCTAGAAGACTTTAAACTACAAGTATGTGTTGGAAATGAACCAAAACCATGGACCTTAAGTGGTTTAAACTCCATTTATTTCACTGTTTTCATGGCTGAAATTCTCCTTGAGGCTGACCGAAAGAGAGAGTGACTTTGTTTAGCTTTATTCTTGGTTTTGTGTGGTGAAATCAACTTGTTAATGTCCTAAACACATGATTAAACATTAACATTGGTATGAGTAGTGAATTGGAGTAGAAAATGAAAGGTTTTGAGAGGTGCAAACTTCACTTTTACATGTTTCATGTCCCAAGCAATAAATTTCCCGTTTTAGTTAAGGAAAATGAAAATGAGTGTTAAAATGCTAATATCATGTTTACTATATATTTTAGCCATGTCATGTAATTTTTCCAGCTTGCATATGTTCCATTAGTTTGCTTATGGAAATTTAAGCTTGTGGAGTTGAACTTTTGCTTGACGGCCAGCCTTGGTATGGAGACATGTGAGCTGAATACTTGTCTATTTTTGGTGGCTTTATGGTCTGAAACTAGTAGCTTGTATAGCCTACCATTTGTGGTCTTGATTTGGATGGTTTGGCCATGAAATTTTGTATTGAATTTGGAGAGGAAATATAGGATAAAACAGGGGTTATGCTGTCCAAATTTTGGGGCAGCTTGCTACCTTGATTTTGGACTGATTTGGTGATGTACTTGCCTAATATTCTTAATGCACCTTTAAGCTTTGCTTATGTATTGCATTTTGGTTGAAATGGAAGGGTTTCATTGGGATTTTCTTTCAAATTGCTGGCTAAAATTGTGCTTGTTTGTCGATGGAGAGTGCAGCCTATTACATTGTTGTTTTTGTAACCTTTTAGTAATTGGTTTTGGCCAAAACTTGTTCCAAACTTTGGAGGAGCCTTTTGTGCGTGAATTTGAGTGAAAACTATGAAGATTGGGAGGTGAAAACCTCATGGTTGTACTTGTTTCATGGCTGTGAAAAAATTCTGATTTGGAGGGCAGTATTGCACCTTCCTACCTTTTAACCTCAACGTCTTTAGTTTGAAAGTCTTTTGGACACAACCTCGCTGACTTAACTTGAGAAAACCTTGTTTCTTTCATTGGTTCGCCGCTGGAAAATTTCCTACCATGAAGCGAATAACAAACTTGTTGGTTA